CGTGTGTGTTTTGATGAGAAACACCGTGACATATTTTCATAAAAATGAAAATAGCAAACAGTGTTAACAGCTGTGTTTAAACTCAGCGCTAACTCTGAGCAATATAAATCTGTTACGGTTTGAGTCTAAACACACACACACACACACACAAAAACACATACAAACACACACACACAAATACACAAACACACACACACAAAAACACATACATACACACACACTTTTGCCGACTATGGGCAGTTTTAAAATGGCCGTGGGGAAAATGGGAAAAGACTTATTTGTGAGTTAGCCTCATTCATTTAACGAGTGCATTCTAAAGTCCACAGCCACTAAACTAGAATGGTCCAAAACATATACTCCCCTCAGACAGCATCTGGAACCAAGAGGACCAAGACCCACTTTTGGACCAAGAACCACTTATGGACCAAGACCCACTTTTGGACCAAGAACCACTTATGGACCAAGAACCACTTTTGGACCAAGACCCACTTTTGGACCAAGAACCACTTTTGGACCAAGAACCACTTTTGGACCAAGAACCACTTTTGGACCAAGACCCACTTTTGGACCAAGACCCAATTTTGGACCAAGAACCACTTTTGGACCAAGACCCAATTTTGGACCAAGAACCACTTTTGGACCAAGACCCACTTTTGGACCAAGAACCACTTTTGGACCAAGACCCACTTTTGGACCAAGAACCACTTATGGACTAAGACCCACTTTTGAACCTCTGAAGAGTTTTGTTTTAGTATTTAATTGCTTGCATTTGACGTCACGTCCGCCTCATTACTTCTGTATGTGCCTTTAGCGTCTGTTGTTTGAGGTTGTTCCAAGTGAAAAGGATACTTTAGGATTCCTCGTGAAGAGATGAATAAAGTAATACAACTTTACGAAATCGTTAAGGCAAAAAAAAAAGGCAATCGTTATTTGCCTTTTTCGATGTATCGTGAAGAAAACAACAGTCTAGGACCGTGTAGAAAACCAAAGCACGCAGTGGAAAAATACTGCCTTGTGCATAATTCCTGAGGCTGCACCCCCGCAAAGCTCCTGGCCCGGACCACGTGTCTCCGGCCACTCTGAGACACTGCGCCAGTGAGCTTACTCCTGTGTTCACTGACATTTTCAACACCTCTCTGCAGTCCTGCCATGTCCCGGCCTGCTTCAAATCCTCCATCATTGTCCCCGTCCCGAAGAAGCCCAGGATCACAGGACTCAACGACTACAGACCTGTAGCACTTACGTCTGTCGTCATGAAGTCATTTGAACGCCTGGTTCTCTCCCATCTCAAGTCCTTCACCTGCCCCCTCCTGGACCCCCTGCAGTTCGCCTACAGAGCCAACAGATCTGTAGACGACGCCATTAACCTGGCCCTCCACCACATCCTACAGCACCTGGACTCCCCGGGGACCTACGCCAGGGTCCTGTTCGTGGACTTCAGCTCTGCCTTCAACACAATCCTGCCATCCCTGCTCCAGGACAAGCTCTCCCAGCTCAACGTGCCCGATTCCACCTGCAGGTGGATCACTGACTTCCTGACGGACAGGAAGCAGCGAGTGCGTCTGGGGAAGAATGTCTCGGACTCTCGGATTATAAATACAGGAGCCCCACAGGGCTGTGTTCTTTCTCCCCTGCTCTTCTCCCTGTACACCAACCACTGCACCTCCAGCCACGACTCTGTGAAGCTGATCAAGTTCGCGGACGACACCACCCTCATTGGACTCATCTCCAACAACGATGAGTCCGCCTACAGGAGGGAGGTGGACCGGCTGGTGTCCTGGTGCAGTGGTAACAACCTGGAGCTGAACGCCCAGAAGACAGTGGAGATGATTGTGGACTTCAGGAAGAGCACTGTCCCCCCACCCCCACCCTCCGTGATGGACTCCCCCATCACCTCTGTGGAGTCCTTCCGTTTCCTGGGCACCACCATCACCAGGACCTCAAGTGGGAGCCGACCATCAGCTCCCTCATCAAGAAGGCCCAGCAGAGGATGTACTTCCTGCGGCAGCTCAGGAAAGCCAAGCTGCAGTTCTACACGGCCATCATCGAGTCCATCCTCACCTCCTCCATCACCGTGTGGTTCGCTGGAGCCACAGTCAGGGACAAACAGAGACTACAGTGCATTGTGCGCTCTGCAGAGGAAGTGATCGGCCGCAGCCTTCCATCGCTGCAGGACCTGTACGTCGCCCGAGCTCGAGGCCGGGCTGGTCGTATCACAGCCGACCCCTCTCACCCTGCACATGGACTATTCCAACCACTCCCCTCAGGCAGGAGGTTGCGGTCCATCAGGACTAGAACCTCCCGCCACAAGAACAGTTTCTTCCCCTCTGCTGTTGGACTCTTGAACACTTCTTAACCTGTCCCCCCGCCCTTTATAAAGTCACTTTACTGCCCATCATACGTCACTTTACTTCACTGTACTGCTGTCACCTTACATTGTGTGCACCATGTGCACTTGTATATTGTAAATAGTAACTGTAACTCTATTTTAAATTTAAATTTATTCTTTAGAAGTGTTTTTTATTCTTATTTTTATTATCTCTTTTTGACTGTTGCACTGAGCCAAAGCAATTTCCTAGTCTGTGACCTCCTGTTACTTACGTGGCAATAAAAATGATTCTGATTCTGATAATGTTAGAATGATGAGTAAGAACGTTCACCACAGAAGCTTCAAAGTGTCGTGGAATATCCAAACAAGCATGAAACTACTCGACAGAAGACAGTGGTTCAGTTGGTAGAGCATTGGCCTTTGAGCCTGAAGGTTGTGGGTTCGAGCCCACCGTAAGACCTACTTCATGACTCATCAGTCATCAGTATGACTGCTGTCGTTGTGTCATTGGGCAAGACACTTAACCCCACTTTGCCTGAAGCTCCCACTGAAAGATCTCAGCTCCTGCAGGAGTATCAGTGAGGGGCTGGTGCTCTGTGGACTGGGTGCAGCTCTGACTGCCACCCCCCCAACCCAGACATGGATTAAGGGGAAGAAAATGGATGGATGGAAGAGTCGCATTTTCGTTGGCCTGACACCTCTTCATTAACCGGAAGTTGATGCGTCACGTGACTGCAAGCCAAGAATTGTATCTGGAAATAAATATTCAATTCAACCTCCACCCTGGTATTTCTCCGCCGTCCTTTCTGCTCAAATCTGAATCACGCGTCAATCGAACGACCCAAACCTTTACGATTCCCTCCATTTCCTGGTTTGGTTTCTTTGCTTCATTAGGAACGAGGAGGTCTTTGAGTGGCTTTTGTTTGTGAACTTGGCTCCAATTTGCCCGAAGTCGCGGCTCCGTGGCGTCAGCGAGAGGCCGCCGAGACCCGAGCGTCACGTAATTGGTTCCATTTGAAGCGGAACACGGGGGAATGTGCGCTGTCGGGCCGTTAGCGGCGCACACGTCAGGTTGCGTGTGGATAAATACACTCTGAAGGACTTTGTATTTCCTCCCGTATCGATCGCAGTCGTGTGTGGCCCTCGTCTCCGGAGCTTCGCTTATTTTCACTTTGAGGAGACATCACGCTTCCTGTCGCAGCTGCAAGGTCAGACAGTCCTGAATGCGCCGCACGTCACGGTCGCCGGAGGAATTAGCCGCTCGATTTATTAAAAGTGAAATTGATTACATTTATTCATTTGAAGAAGAAAATAAGAAAAGATCGTGACCCTTTAGTGCAGACATGTCCAACTCCTGCCCCTGAGGCTCAAGGATTTTCAATTATCATTACAGTAAGTTGGAGCATTATCTAAGGAAAAAACAAAAACATACAATTTAATCTGCTCTAAAATTATAACTGACATTTTAACCGATCAGAAGTTAAGCTAGGTCTCTTATACGCTTATATTATAACCATCTGTCTGTCTTCAATCACATCTATTCTTGTTATTGGCAGAGAAAATAATATTCAAACTCACGTCAAATTAATTGTATTGGTAAAAATAATTAAATATTATTATTATTAAAACATTTTAAATAAATAATGATAATAAAGAATAACACGTTCATACTTTTGGCTCCAACCAGCTCTTTTGTTTTTAAATCTGAGTTTAACCATGAGTTTGAAATCCCTGCTTTGATGGTTTCTTCAACCATTTGGTAGACTTTGAAACTGAAATCTACCTCTTTCGGGCATCTGACTTGCCGGAGGTCCCCCATCACAGTTCTAACCAGGCCCGCTCCTGCTTAGCTTCAGAGCTCTCGCAGTATGTGGCTGATTTCCTGTTTGCGCCTCACACCTGCAGGTTACATCCATCACTTTAATGCACTGAGACATGTCGACTGTGTGTCATACTTACACGTGAAGGTCCGGCACACAATCTGTGAAGCTAAGCAGGGCAGGGCCTGGTTAGTGCTGTGATGGGAGACCTCTGAACAGCAGGTGCCACAGTGGGGCGGCTGCGGCTGTAAAGTGTCAAACTGTGGTTGTGTCCTTAGGCAAGACACTTCCCCCACATTAGAATGAGTCTGGTGTGTGTGTGAATGGTTGGTGGTGGTGGGAGGGGCTTCTGTCAGTGTGCCCTAGGGCAGCTGTGGCTACAGTAGTTTATCACCACCGTGTTTGGAGAGAGAGTATAATGAAGTGAAGAGATTTTGAGTCTGAAAAACCGCTGTAATAAACAGATGAACTGTCACTGAATGCACTTGTACAGGAGTAATTTTAGGAAATGTTAAGTAGATTTTTTATTTATTTTTAAGCCTTGATCTATTTTTAGTTTTAGAACTTGTTTGCACCAAGAGCCAAAGCCCTTTCGTTGCTTGTGACTCCCTGTTTCTCACAATGACAATCAAAATAATTATGAATCAAATTAAACAATAAAAACACAAAGTGCTAACAAGGCTTTGTCATATTTCTGTTTCTGCTTCAAACAAAACACTTAAAACTGGAAATGGCTGCTTTCTTCGTGGCGTAAACAGCCTCCTCTGTTTCCAAAGATGTTTTATAACAATGATAAATGTTCTTCTGCAGCACGATGAGATGCAGCGGGTGATTCTTCAAAGTGTCTGAGATCAGGAGCTACAAATGAGAACGGATCTGCAGCAGGAGCGGAGCTGACAGCGGCTTAGGGCGCAGCTGGGGCCGAGAGCTGATGCCGAGAGGAGGGGCCGAGAGGAGGGGCCAAGAGGAGGGGCCGAGAGGAGGGGCCGAGAGGAGGGGCCGAGAGGAGGGGCCGAGAGGAGGGGCCGAGAGGAGGGGCCGAGAGCTGGGGCCGAGAGGAGGGGCCGAGAGGAGGGGCCGAGAGGAGGGGCCGAGAGCTGAGGCCGAGAGGAGGGGTCGAGAGGAGGGGCCGGGAGGAGGGGCCGAGAGGAGGGGCTGGGGCTGAGAGGAGGGGCCGAGAGGAGGGGCCGAGAGCTGGGGCCGAGAGGAGGGGTCGAGAGGAGGGGCCGGGAGGAGGGGCCGAGAGGAGGGGCTGGGGCTGAGAGGAGGGGCCGAGAGGAGGGGCCGAGAGCTGGGGCTGGGGCTGAGAGGAGGGGCCGGGGCTGAGAGGAGGGGCCGAGAGGAGGGGCCGAGAGCTGGGACCGAGAGGAGGGGCCGAGAGCTGAGGCCGAGAGGAGGGGCTGGGGCCGAGAGGAGGGGCCGAGAGGAGGGGCTGGGGCTGAGAGGAGGGGCCGAGAGGAGGGGCCGAGAGGAGGGGCTGGGGTTGAGGGGCTGGGGCTTAGAGGAGGGGCCGAGAGGAGGGGCTGGGGTTGAGAGGAGGGGCTGGGGCTGAGAGGAGGGGCCGGAAGGAGGGGCTGGGGCTTAGAGGAGGGGCCGGGAGGAGGGGCTGGGGCCGAGAGGAGGGGCTGAGAGGAGGGCCCAAGAGGAGGGCCCAAGAGGAGGGGCCGTGAGGAGGGGCCGTGAGGAGGGGCCGGAAGGAGGGGCCGAGAGGAGGTGCCGAGAGGAGGGGCCGAGAGGAGGGGCTGGGACTAGTAGTAGTAGTAGTGCCTTTCTCACACCAGAGTCAAAGCGGTTTACAATTATTATTTTGGGCATTAGTCTCTGACTCCACACAGAGATGGGAGGGGCCAGTACAGGAGCCACAGACCTATTGTACATGTTTTTAGTGGTAGGGGAAACCGCAGTACCCGGAGGAAACCTACACAGACACAGGGAGAACATGCAAACTCCACTCAGAAAGGCCCTGTTCTGACCAGGATTCGAACCCAGGACCTTCTAAAGCAGGGTCTGGGGCTGGGATCAGAGGGTAACATACAGACGCAGTGTGTCTTCTTCTTGTATGACGTGTGACGTGAGATCAACGACAGAACGACAGTGAGATGTTTGTCTCTGGCAGCGATGGATCCAAACTCACTGAAGGAGATGGAGCTGGAGACATTTGGAAACTGTTCTTCTGAAGCCGAGACTCTGGCCACACCCCTGTAGTTCCACCGTGCTCCACTAGAGGCGTTTCACTGAACACAAGGGTCTGGGGTCGAAGGCAAACTCCTTCAAATCATGAACAACTCTAAATAAATGACAGTTTTTGTTATAGTTTGGCCGGAGGTGCGACTTATGTGTGAATTTATTACAGTGAATATTTTAAATTGTATATTTTAGTTTGTGTAAAATTTTAAATAATAACCTGGGCTGTAAAATGTGGTCAAATGTTCTACGCTAGAGTTATTAACCCGGCATTTTCTCAGTTCATTGATTATTCCTCAGATAACGTCCACTTATTCAGCTGTTCTTCTTTTCTTATTTTAAATTGCCTCAAGATGATTGATTTTGACAAATACTGTACATTTCCCCCATAAAAGATTTTTTCCTTCTTCATTAAGAATTTTCAGCTGCGATTTATACTTTAGAGTGACCTATAATCCAAAAAAGACAGTCCTTTTCTTCCTCACAGACTTTTTTTGTGATAAAAACATAACTTTGTGGGAGTTACTATAGTTTCTCCGTCTATTCTAGCGTCGCCGTCTCAGAAACTGCAGCATCTTTGATCGTCTTCATCCTTCACCTTCGGACACAGACGTTACAGAAACCGTCTCACTCCCACACTCTGCACCTCCTGCTTTCACACCAGCAGAGGCGTCTCACTGTTGTTATAATGGACACCAGAGAAAGACCAGAAACGAAACACGGTCAGTCTGAATCTAGTCTCCCAAAACCATCGTGAGTCTGCTCCAAGTCCCTGTGCTCCTCAGAGTCCCAGCAGGAGGCTGGTCCCTGTGCTCCTCAGAGTCCCAGCAGGAGGCCGGTCCCTGTGCTCCTCAGTCCCAGCAGGAGGCCAGTCCCTGTGCTCCTCAGAGTCCCAGCAGGAGGCCAGTCCCTGCGCTCCTCAGAGTCCCAGCAGGAGGCCAGTCCCTGTGCTCCTCAGAGTCCCAGCAGGAGGCCAGTCCCTGTGCTCCTCAGACTTGGTTCATAAGGCTCTGACATGTCACAGATGTATTTTGGTACAGACCATGAAGAGACTTGTAACAAACAGAGTTGTTTAAAGCTTTTTCATACAGAGAGCTACTGTCCCAGGACGATAAAGGCAGAGAGCTACTGTCCCAGGACGATAAAGACAGAGAGCTACTGGTGGTACTCTGAGCCACAGGACAGAGACCTGAGAGCAGGACTATGCTATAAATCAGATTCAGTTTATTTGCCATTTGCAGTAAAACCACATTGGAATACATTAGCGAAAAGTCTCCAGTGTGCACAGACAAATACAGACATAAAACAACATTAAAAGACAGAAATAAAACAAATAAAACAGTAAACAAAAGTCACTGTGAAATCGATCGACTAAAACAGTTTCAAAACAAGTGCAAATCATTAAAGTGCTCTGTTCACACTGATAACAGCCTGTGGATAAAAACTGTTAGCGTAACGAGATGTCCTGCATCTCAGAGAGCGATATCTTCTGCCAGAGGGAAGAAGCTGGAACATGGCTTTCCCAGGGTGGCCAGAAGAGTCATTGACAATCCTAAGAGCTTTGTTTAAAAGTCTGGATTTATAAAGAACCTCCAGAACAGGAAGCTCACAGCCCACGGTCCTCTTTGCAGAGCGGAGCACCTTGTTTAAAGGGATAGTTCACCGTTTTTACATACTGACATATGTTCTTACCTTACCTTAGACTAGTTAATATGTACCTGTCTGGTCTTAGTCCGTGCGCTCTGTCATGCAAACGGAGCAAAAACGGGAGCACAAATGCAGCCTCCTCTGTATATTTTGTAGCACCAAAAGGTAGCTCCCGCTAGAAGCTACCAAACTCTTCCAAGTGTTCCCTATTAAATGTATATAGTTACGTGACGTGTTACACTGCAAAGTATAGTAACACAGAAATGTAACAGTCGATTTTCTCAGCGGATAAAACGGGTACTATATTATGAGGCGTAGTAATCTGAGTAGCGCTACGTCCGCGCACTAACTTCTCTCCGGAGACTTCTCTCTCGCTCACTTCCGTCCATAGAAGCAGCGTGAATTGTAGTGCACACAGTAGCAGCGAGAGAGAAGTCTCCGGAGAGAAGTTAGTGCGCAGAGAAGTTAGGAGCGCTACGTCCGCGCACTAACTTCTCTCCGGAGACTTCTCTCTCGCTGCTACTGTGTGCACTACAATTCACGCTGCTTCTATGGACGGAAGTGAGCGAGAGAGAAGTCTCCGGAGAGAAGTTAGTGCGCGGACGTAGCGCACCTCAGATTACTACGCCTCACAATATAGTACCCGTTTTATCCGCTGAGAAAATCGACTGTTACATTTCTGTGTTACTATACTTTGCAGTGTAACACGTCACGTAACTATATACATTTAATAGGGAACACTTGGAAGAGTTTGGTAGCTTCTAGCGGGAGCTAACTTTTGGTGCTACAAAATATACAGAGGAGGCTGCATTTGTGCTCCCGTTTTTGCTCCGTTTGCATGACAGAGCGCACGGACTAAGACCAGACAGGTACGTATTAACTAGTCTAAGGTAAGGTAAGAACATATGTCAGTATGTAAAAACGGTGAACTATTCCTTTAAAGCTCTCTTTTCTTTATCTGTGATGTTTCCAAACCACACAGACACAGAACCAACAAGTAAACTCTCAATGGTGCAGCCATAAAAGTTAAGCACAATGTTAGAGTTAGTGGTAAATTCTCTACGTTTACGCAGAAAGTAGAGACGCTGACGAGCTTTCTTAACGACTCGGACAGTGTTTTTAACCCATTTCAGGTTAGACAGAGTTAAACCCAGAAACTTGCTCCTCTACGATCTGCACCTGGGAGTTGTCGATTACGACAGGCAAATGAGAACTATTGTGACTGAAGTCGTAGACCAGTTCACATGTTTTGGATGCGTTCAACTGGAGGTTGTTAGTTTGACTCCACTGAACCACATTTTGTATCTCTGCTCTATAAGAGGATTCATCAGTGTCACTGATGAGACCGATGATGGTGGTGTCATTAGCATATTTAATGATCAAGTTTGAGTCAGAGGAGGACACACAATCGTGAGTGTACAAAGTAAAAAGCAAAGGACTCAAAATACATCCCTGAGGAGAACCAGTGCTCACAGAAACAACATCAGAAAAACACTCATTGATTTTCACTCTCTGAGATCTGTCAAGCTAAAAATCCATTTACACATGACAACACTTAAACCCACAGACATGAGCTTTTCAATCAGTTTACCTGGGACAGGGCAGTTAAAAGCAGAGCTATAATCGATGAAAAGCATTCTGGCCACAGATTTACTATTGTCCAAGTGACTGTAGACAGAGTTCAGAGCAAAGGAGATGGCATCCTCCACACTCCTGTTCTGTCTGTAGCAAACTGGAGCGGGTCAACACTCACAGGGTTCTGGCTCTTAATGAAGTCCAGCACAAGCCGCTCAAAAGTTTTCATAACAACAGACGTGAGAGCCACAGGACGATAGTCATTCAGGCATGTCACAGGAGTTCCAGGAACTGGAATGATGGTCGACTCTTTAAAGCAGTTCGGCACAGTACAGTTCCTTAGCGACAGGTTGAAAATGTCTGTTAGCACAGGGGCAAGTTGCTCAGAGCACAGTTTCAGGACACGAGGAGGGATGCCGTCCGGGCCTGGGGCTTTCCGGACTGTGGTCCTGGACAAGACACGCCTGACTTCCTCCTGAGTCACGGTGAAGGTACCTTGATTGAAACACTCAGGGAATACAGTAGGACAGGCATCAGCGGATTCAAAGCGACAGTAGAACGTGTTTAGCTCGTTTGGCAGAGCTTGGCCGACAGATGCAGTTTTCCCAGCGCTAGGTTTCCACGATGTGATGGATTTAATACCGTTCCACATGCGCCGAGGGTCATCTTCCTCAAAATAACTCTTTAACCTGTCCCCGTATCTGTGCTTTGCAGATTTAATAGAACGTTTCAATGAGTAACAGGATAGCTTATAAGCAACTGCATCGTTAGATTGAAACGCCAACGCACGCTCATGAAGTTTCAGTTTCACTTCTGCGTTCATCCAAGGGTTTTGACTAAAATGTTCTTTAATGACCTTCTGTGGGACACAGCAGTCAATACAGAAGCGTATGTATCCAGACACAGCGTCACAGAATTCATTGACGTCCTCTGACTGAAACACAGACCAGTCCGTAGCATCAAAACAACCTTGTAGCTTCATGCTAGCCTCCTCAGACCAACACTGCACAGTGCGAGAGGTTGGTTTATGTTCCCTGCTCCTCTGAGTATACGAAGGAAGAAGGAGAACAGAGGAGTGGTCAGACTTTCCAAAAGGAGGTCTGAGACTGGACCTGTAAGCTCCCTTCACGTTACTGTAGCAGTGATCCAGAACATGTGCTCCTCTTGTAGCTTGAGTCACATGTTGGTAAAAGTTCGGGAGTACAGTCTTTAAATTACATTTATTGAAATCCCCAGCAACAATGATGACTGCGTTAGGATGAGACTCATGTTTGTGAAGGATCTCGCTCAGATCCTGTAGGGCTACTTTGTAATCCGCACGTGGGTGAATGTAAACAGCACATAAAAATATCACTGAAAACTCACGGGGAAGATAAAAAGGGCGGCAGCTCAAGACCAGGCATTCCAGATTGGCAGTACATGTTTGGTTCACGACTCGAGTGTCCGTGCACCAGCGCTGATTAATTAAAAAGCACACACCTCCGCCTCTGGCCTTGCCCGTGGTCTCCTTCACTCTGTCCGAGCGGTGAGCGGTGAATCCCGGGGGCTGAACAGCAGAGTCCGGGACGTTCGAGTGGAGCCACGTCTCGCTGAGGCAGAACACAGTCCCGGGCCTCGCGCTGGCTCTGGACCCGACACAGGAGCTTGTCCGTCTTGTTGGGCAGAGACTGGACGTTGGCCAGGTAGATGGAGGGCAAAGGGGTCCTGGAGGAGCGGCTATGAACGAGCAGACCGCCTCGCCTTCCCCGGTGT